ATAGTACTATGGGGATGGTTTTAGTGTGTGTAACGTTCCATTGTGTTTTTATTTCAATAGATAATTCTGTGTATTTGGCGATTTTTTCCGTGTGTGTACTAACTAGGTTATGTGTATTGCATATAGCTATGTCTATAATATATACTATTTTATTTTGTTTATCTAACATTGTTATGTCTGGTCTATTGTTATAAATTGTCTTGTCTGTAATTATAGTTCTGTCCCAATATAATTTAAAATTCTCATTTTCCAGTACAGTATGCGGCTTGTATTTGTAATATGGGATTCTTTCGGTAATTAGTTTTGTTTTGATAGCAAGGGATTGGTGAATTATGGCAGCTACTTGGTCGTGACGGTGTTTGTAATCAGTTTGGGCTATTGCTCTGCAGGCGCCAGTGATGTGCTGGATCGTCTCCGAAGCACCATGGCATCGCCTGCAGCTGTCGTTGTAGTTGGGTCTGCGGATTATATATTTTTGGTAATTGGCTGTGTCTATTACCTGGTCCTGTATGGCAATCATAAATCCCTCCGTTTCAGAGAACAGTTCACCTCGCTGCAGCCAAGCGTTCGATGCTTTGATATCGACATGAGGTTGCTGCAAGTCGAGGCGGTGTCTTCCATGAAGGGATTTACGTTCCCAGGCTGCGATTTTGTCTGTTTTGGTGGTTATGCTTTCATTGCGTTGTGGGTTAGAAGAGTGAAGGTTCAGTGGTGTGTAATTTTGATCTAGACAAGAAACAAGTTTGTGAATTTGTGATTGTTGGGCTTTGTGGAAAAAGAACTTCCTTAAGTTGCCAATCTGCTGGTTGTGCAAATTTTCAATATCTATAAGACCCCGTCCTCCATCTTCTCTCGGTAGTGTTAGTCTTTGCACACAAGATCGGGGATGGTGCTTCCTGTTTATCGTCAGAGCTGTATTTATAGTCCGTTGTAATTTTCTTAGATCCGTTTTTGACCAGTGAATTATTCCAAAAGAGTACGTGAGTATAGGGATGGCAAATGTGTTAATGGATTTGAATAGATTACGGGATGTTAATTGTGATCTTACAAGCATGTTGATTCTGTGTTTATATTTTGTGGTTATTTTATTTTTGGCGTGTTTTTTGTCGATTTGGTATGTTTGTTCAAATCCTAAATATTTGTAACTGCAATTTTGTGTCATTGATTCGATTATATCCCCAGATCCCAGTGTATACGGATTATTTTCGATGTGTTGACCTTTCATGAGAGTGAATGTTTTGCACTTGTCAATGCCGAAAGTCATGTTTATGTCATCTGAAAAGGTTTGTGTGAGGTCTGCAAGTGAAGAAAGTCCTAATACACTATTGCTATACAGTTTAATGTCATCCATGAACATCAGATGGGTTAATTGAAAATTTTGTCCAGTGTTATCTTTTAGAGAGAGACCGTAGTCAGAAGAGTTCAGAAGGTTAGAGAGAGGGTTCAGAGCGAGGCAGAACCATAGAGGACTTAAAGCATCTCCTTGAAAAATACCCCGTCTAATTGGTATAAGGTCTGTTTGCACTGATTTTCCTAGTTTTATTTTGGTACTCCAATGTTTCATGGATTCGTTTAAAAATTTGATTAGATCTGGGTGAATTTTATAATGGTCTAATATATATAGTAGCCAACTATGAGGAACTGAGTCAAAGGCCTTTTGGTAGTCAATGTACATTGTAAAAATGTCATTTTTCTGTTTAACGCTATGTTGCATGGCTATCAAGTCTATAGTCAGCTGCTCCTTGCATCCCTGGCTATATTTACGGCAACCTTTCTGTTCTTCAGCTAGAATGTTATTTTGTAATATGTGTCTGTAGATTATTTCTGAAATGCAACCAGTGATTAATTTATAGATCGTCTGTAAGCAAGTTATGGGTCTGTAATTGGCTGGGTTCGTGTGGTCGGAGTTTTTAGGGATCATGTATGTTAGGCCTTGTGTAATGAAGTTAGGGATGTTGTGTGGGTTTTTTAAAAAGTCATTAATATGGTTATATATAGATGGATGTAAGAAAGTGAGTTTCTTGTAGAAGTAGTTATGGATGTGATCCGTGCCAGGTGATTTCCAATTATGAGCTTTTTGAATTACTTTAACAAACACTTCGAGCGGAACAGCATCAAATGACATGTGTGGTAGTTGCTCTAATTTTTTTTTATCGACTTGTATCCACGTGGCAGTCTGATTATGCTCAGATGTTTTTGACCAAATATTCGACCAGTAGTTGTGTAGCTGTTCAGAGTTGGGGTGTGGTATTTCTGTTGCTTGCTGTTGATTTTGTGTATGTGTCGTGTCGGTAGCTAGTTTTCTATAAAATTGTCTTTCATTGTTTGTTAATTCAGAATTCTGATTCTTTCGTTTCGTGCAGTAAAAGTACCTACGCCGCCTACTTGTTATAGCTGTAAGTTTTTGTTTTAGGCTATCCATGAATTGCTCATTGGTTGTGTTTGGTTCTTCATAACTAGAATGTGTTCTATACTTATGTTTGATTTTTTCAATATGTGTTATTAGTCTTAAATTTCTATTTCCGTTTATGTATTGAGTCATTCTACCTATTTCTTTGCGTATTATGAGAATCTTTTGGTCAAGTCGTCTCAACCAGTTTGGTCGCCTATCTTTCCTAATGTCGACATGTTGTGTACTGTGTGTTTGGATGTGGTCTTTGATTTTAGAGCCATTACACAAGGCAGCAGTGTGAGCTGCACAGTATACCAGAGCGTGAGTTTTAAGGAAATCGTCATCTTTAGTGCTGTATTTTGGTAGAATTTTGTTGTTTAAATAAGATATAATGTGTGCAAATCTTTTAGACGTTTTTTGTTTGGGTATAAAAGGTCTGTTAGTAGGATCTGTTGATAAATATTTGTAGAAAATTTCTTCGAAGGTCTTTTCTATTTTGGTGTCTAGACTATCGTCAACTAATATAGTATTCGTCATTTCTTGCTGGAATATTGTTGTACCTGTGTCTGTGTTTGCGTTACCATCAGGATTCGAGGTATTAAAAATTGTGTTGTTTGTTGATATATCGTCGTGTTGTATATTATGTATTGATTGTGTGCTAAGATAGTCTCTTACTTCTCTTTTAATTTGCTCCAGTCTGTCATCTGATACGAGTCTATTGTTAAGGATAACTCTACGCTGGTCTGCAATACGCTGTTCCGAAACATGTGCTATGATTGGAAATTGTTGTGTAATGGAAGTGTGTAGTTGTTTTCTGTATGCAGTTTTATTAGTTTCAATATGTGTTATTTTAAAGTATTCCCTAATAATAGCTTCGTTGATATCATCTGTCCATTTAAGTCGGGTACTTGCATTGGTTGTTTGTTGCAATTCGGTTGTTGTGATCCGTGTTAAACCTATTGTATTGTGATTATTGTTATTATTCTGGAGCTCTACCTGGACTTCGTTTTTTATTATCTCTAATATAGTATCGGGGAGCAGCTTGTTTCTAAGAATAGCGCGCTTCTGATCACCGAGTCTTTGTTTGGAAACTTTCATGTCAGGGAATCTGTCAGTAAATTTGGCGTAAAGGGGGTCTAAATAACCGCGGATTTTCGTATCTAGATTTGTAACCAGAAGGTAGGTGCGCCAGATGAACTCGTTCATCTCTCTCGTCCATCTCAATCGTGCGCGAGCTTGACCAGTGGTGGGTGCAGGATTGTTGGCTTCTGCCTCCTGCACAACATCCATGGCTGCAGAGTTGTTAGAGGGTGGTGAGGAAATAGAACTATAATCAGTATTATAGTTGAGGCAGGAAAGGGGAGAAGAGGGCAGTGAAGGGAAAAGGGAAAATGAGGAGGATGGTCTGCTGTCGCATTGTTCGGGTGACCCGGTAGGAGCCCGCAGACTCAACTCACTACCACCGATGGTTCGTATGCTGGAACGCCCAGCATCGGCTCCAGGCGTGCCCCGGCGATCGCCCCCGGGCAGCGATCCTATACGTAATCTTTTTTTTGCTCTCGTCTCCATTTCTCCGATGGGTTACTATAGCCACGTTAGCCGCCCAGTAACATTATTTGTGCGTTGCCCGCCCCCCACGTGATCAGATGGTCGTTCGGGACGTGTGGTTAGATTTTAGGGGGCTTATTATTATTATTATTATAGGATAAGGTAGGTAGTGTGGGGTAGGTAGGGTAAGATAGGTAGTATAGGGTAGATAGGATAAGGTAGGTAGTATAGGGTAGATAGGATAAGGTAGGTAGTGTGGGGTAGGTAAGATAAGACAGGTAGTGTAGGGTAGGTAGGATAAGGTAGGTAGTGTGGGGTAGGTAGGGTAAGATAGGTAGTATAGGGTAGATAGGATAAGGTAGGTAGTATAGGGTAGATAGGATAAGGTAGGTAGTGTGGGGTAGGTAGGATAAGGTAGGTAGTGTGGGGTAGGTAGGGTAAGATAGGTAGTATAGGGTAGATAGGATAAGGTAGGTAGTGTAGGGTAGGTAGGATAAGATAGGTAGTGTTGGGTAGGTAGGATAAGGTAGGTAGTGTAGGGTAGGTAGGATAAGATAGGAAGAGTAGGGTAGGTAGGATAAGGTAGGTAGTGTAGGGTAGATAGGATAAGGTAGGTAGTGTAGGGTAGGTAGGATAAGATAGGAAGAGTAGGGTAGGTAAGATAAGATAGGTAGTGTAGGGTAGATAGGATAAGGTAGGTAGTGTAGGGTAGGTAGGATAAGATAGGTAGTGTACGGTAGATAGGATAAGGTAGGTAGTGTAGGGTAGGTAGGATAAGATAGGAAGAGTAGGGTAGGTAAGATAAGATAGGTAGTGTAGGGTAGGTAGGATAAGGTAGGTAGTGTAGGGTAGGTAGGATAAGGTAGGTAGTGTAGGGTAGGTAGGATAAGGTAGCTAGTGTAGGGTAGGTAGGATAAGGTAGGTAGTGTTGGGTAGGTAGGATAAGATAGGTAGTGATATTGTATGATTGTAACCGCACCTATGATACAGGAGAAAATCCTAGTGTGGCGCTACGTTTTTGTAAAGAAAAAACATGATATGTAGGCTACATATAACTCACACGGTGGCGTGCAACGCGCAGAGCGCGGCGGAGAGCGCGGCGACACACAGCAACAACAGTAGCAGCGGGGCCACCACCGCGCCCCACACGGCGCCGCTGTAGCTGCGGGACGGGAGGTACTGCTGCGGGACGGAGGTAATTGACAGTCAAGAAGTCAGACACCTAAGTCAATGTCTAAATCAACATTTTAGTCACAGACCAAAATGTAATGAAGCATTTAAAAATGAAATTTCTTTTAAAACAAAAACCCATATTTAGATAGATATAAACGAGTGTAAACAAGGATAGTATTAAAAAAAATCTTGACAGTAAATGACTACCTCAAAATTTTAAGTCAACTGCGGAAGTCAAAGACAATGACTAAATACATGACAGTTTTTAAGACAACTATTCGAGGTTCTCCAAAACCAAATTCAATGTCTTCATCAAAATCATAACCAACGCCTTAATTGGAAAAATTATAGTAGTTAACAAGGAACATAAAAAAAATTCGCTTCTAATATTTCTACATATATTATACCTATCAAAATCTATGTTTAAATCAAAATGTCTATTTAGTATTTTTCTCAATAAAAAAACACAACTACCTTCAACAAATTCATCTTAATTCTAGACCAAGTTCAGCATAAAAACAAAAGCAGCGCCAAAATCAAATAAAAAGTCTAAATAATATAAGCAATTACTAAACAACAGTGTCGCCCCTTGTTTAAAAAAATACATGTCACTGTATAATTTTAATTAATTTGTATCATCCACAAATTGTTTTGTCTTTAATGTATACCCACGATCAATAAGAAAATCCTTAGTAAAAAAAACTAAACAAAAGTGGCGCGACATTTGTAAAGAAATGTATAGTAATCCATCTGTTTGTTTGCCGATCGTTTTCATAAAAATGCACACTTTACCAGTTCAAAGACCGTCTAGTATGGAAAACAAAGACATTCTAGAAGACTAATAGGCTACACTTACCTTGCTGGGTGCGGTCCAGATATCTTTGGTGTCAAGAGCCTTGAAGGACTTGGCGGATTTACTGGTGTTGGGCACTTCAGTCAGGTATTCAAGGTGAAGGGTCGAGCGCTCCTTGTAGATCGTATTGTACTGGAATTTAAGATAGATCATTATTTATCTACTGCTGAGAAAGAGTTAAGGAAAATTAGCTTTTACAGTAAGCAGAAGCGCAGTGTCTTTAAAAAATGTAAGAGTGGGAGAGCCATGCTTCGGCACGAATAGGTCGGCTCGACCGGAGTGATACCACGGTCTCACAGAAAACCGGCGTGAAACAACACAGCGTTGTGTTTCGCCGTGTGAGTGAGGTTACCGGAGGCCCAATCCTTCCCCTCCCCCAATCCCTCCTCAATCCCTAACTCTCCAAATCCCTTATCCCTAAAAGGTCGGCAACGCACTCGTAACTCCTCCGTTGCGGGTGTCCATGGGCGGCGCTGATTGCTTACCATCAGGTAATCCGTCTGCTCGTTTGCCGACCTATTACCTACATAAGAAAAAAAACTTCACGGTAAAGTGGCAATGGGCAAACCACATCGCTCGAAGGACTGACGGCCTATGGGTCAGAAAAATGCTTGAGTGGTGACCACGAAACGAAAGACGTAACTCGGGTAGGTCTTCTACTAGGTAGACCAATGACCTCGTCAGAGTCACGGGGATCTAGTCCGGCGTGGAGAGCTAAAGGGGAGGCCATTGTCCAGCAGTAGACTTCTTCCAACTTGTGATGATGACGATGAGTAGAAGGGTCATCTGATGGTAAGCTAACAGATATATCAAAAGGAGACACAAGTGCATTCCAACCCTTTGATGGAAGAAAATTGGGCCTCCTGTTACCCCATTCTTGTCATTAGATTCATTTTTTGACACCAAGATTCCCTCAAGTCATGGTATCACTTTCCAATTCTAAATTCTGGAAAATCCTAGTGTAGGGTAACGTATTTTAATATAACAAAAAAATCGAACAGATTTTTGCCAAAGTTACTGAATACATACCAGTTCAAAACTGCACCAGTCCAGCGTCAAACCAGCGTCTCTGAAGAGTCGTTCAACGGTCGTGCGCTTGTACTCTCGGGGACAGCTGGGCAGACGGGACAGAGGGCGGACCTCCTCACGCAGTCTCTTGAGCTCCAGCGAAAATGGCATGGAACTGCCTAGACGGACTACCAACCTAGAAAGTGAAAATAAAGAAAAAAAATTGCTATGGATTGTATTGTCTAGATATGGATGTTGGAAAAAATACAACTCTCGCCTTGGGTGAGGCGAAAAGAAGTGTGACTCTTAATAACTAAAACCACAGCGCTCTTTCTCCTACTTTGGCCCGGGCCACGGAACATTATAGCGCTTGCATCCGAAAACCCGGCTCAGAAAAAATAAGGTAGATAGATTTTATTAGTTCAGTGAGGTAGATAGACTTTGTAGATGCATGTCAATTGTCACACGTAAAATTTCAATTTCTAGGTTCCGACACTGCATTAATCGACCTAGTGAAAACTAGTATCTTAACATGTACTAAACGAAAATATTTTCATTTTTTAAAATTTATTCATTTTTATAATTAAATCCAGTTACGTGTTAAAAAAAACATACCTTTTTATCTAACAATAAAATAAAAAACAGTAGTCTGCTCACGTAGTATAAGTAGAAATCATGACTAACCAAAACAATGTTCTACGTCAATTTAGCTAATTGTGAAGAAAAAAATATTTCTTACCCTTCACCGTCACTTGGCTTCAAAGGCAGTCGAGCTCCAAGATCGATGGCAGACGATAGGAAAGTCGCGTACAGATCACCACTGCTCTCCGTCCAGAGCTTCGTCCTCAAGATGTCCTTCAAACGGGTCATCCTGGAATTTGTTACAAATTCTTTAGAGATTATGAGAAATGAAATGACTATTAGAATTTCGTAGTCCGTTTTTATACTTGCGTAGGGTACCTAAGCTTCCAAAAATAACTTTAAAAATTTGAATTTGATATAGGTCATGGATCATATAAACGTTTAAAGAAAGAACTGATCCTTGATGTCTAATAAGTCCTGTTTCAGCTATTAACAACTGCTAGAACTCACTTATGCTCATCCAGAAGATCTTCAACATTCAGGTTATCGATTTTGAGCTCGACCTCATGTCGTGCCATCTTCTCCTTCACCTGTATGTCCAACGTCAGCAACACCCGCCGCGTCTCGTAGTCCTGTCTGTTTAAGCCGATTACTTCGATCTGTAACGCCAGAAGCAGCGATGAGTTTGAATACTACCAAAGGTTCTATAGTCTGATAATAAATAAATAGCTACAACAAAAATCTTCAAAATCCACAAACAAAACAGTAAATATATAAAATATATAAAGACAGGCAAATTGGTCTTTGCGCTAGTTTGTGAGTCTAAACAGACCAAATCTAAACAGTAGACTTATATAAAGGATAACCAATAGACCACCATAGGGTTGACTTTCAGCCGAAATTGCGGCCTCGACCTGAATTAGGCAACGAGGTGGTTTTTAGTCAGTAAGAATCTTGCACTTCCTCTTGCTCCGCCCAGACTGAGAGAAGTAAGAATGAATTTACCGCATCACAGCAAAAAAACTGATGGCCAAAAGAGTTGTGAAAGATAAGTAAAATAAGAAAATAAACTATTTACCTGGAGGGAGCCTCGACTCCCTCGCGGCGGCGTTCCGAAGATGAACCCTGAGTGGTGTCGTCCGCTGTAGATATAATGAAGCCACGAAGGTAACTCCGGTTTGCCCAGCATGGAAGCGTGGAAGCGGTATTGCTGGTCGAACTCTGAGGCAGAAATACAGTCGGTACTCAGACATTGAGAAAGCTAATAAGAGTGTTGAAACACTCAAAAAGAATATTAATTTGTATTTTTCGATTTAATGTGGGAGAGACAAGCTTTGATTCCCTCCCTCTCTCCCCCCAATCCTCAATCCTCAAATGAAGTATCCCTAAATCCCAAATAGCCCACATGAGGCCGGCGAAGCACTTGTAGTAAATCCTTTGGTACTACGGGTGACCATGGGCGCCGCTGATTGCTTACCATCTGGTAATCCGTCTGCTCTTTTGCTGATCTATTACAAAAAGAAAGGAATTCTCAAACTTAAAATCTCAATCCTATTCAGTAATGTAATACTAATAACAAAACTCTGAAAGCAGAGATGTCACTTCTATAAAATATTTCTGAAAGGCAAAAAGTCCATAATGTATACAATAAAGGCATCAATGACATTCCGCCATGTTGGCCAATTAACCTAAACATTTCCAGTAAATCCTCCATTAAAGAAATACAGGTATTGAAACCAGTCTCTAATTTCCTATGTGCATCCTATTTAAAAATTCATAATGATTCGTCGTCATATGTTAATTCTCAGGTCTTCGTATAAAATTCTGCCAATCTCAGAACAAAGAACTCGCATGCACCACGTGGCTTCGGTTCTTACGTAACTGCACTAGACTTGCGCAATAGGCACGTAACGGCAAATGGCTGCCATATTTTAGTGTGGCTTTATCGTAGCAAAAGCATTATAAATTGAAACATCAAGAATTGTTAACGCGTTCACTGTCTGCTTTAGAACTAGTATTCAGAATCTAGAATAATGTGAGCTTTGTATAAGTATCTTTCTTTTGTTTCTAATGGCATAATTATAAAACGGCCCCCACCCTGTTATTTCTTTTTGCGAGCTGCGTTTCGAAGAGTCTAGAACTTGGTTATCAATTTTCAGGTTGTCACAACACATGCCCTAGGACCCTAGGGCATGCGCCGTTTGCGTTATGCGTTATGGAAGTACTGCCCGCTGTATATTGATCGCCATGTGACCGCCATCTTGGTTTGCAGCCTACGCATCAACGAGACAACGCCCAAAGGAATTCTCACATTATTGCTCGTCAATTTTACCGTGAGGATTAGTTTACATTTTGTTTTTAAATTCTTCAAGTAGTGACTTTTATTTACTGTGTACAAATCACAGTATATATGTATATATATATGCCACACCCTTTCGCAAAAATAAAAATAAATACTTCCATTGCCAATTAATTGGTGAAGGCGACGAAAGTAAATCATTTCTAGTCATTATCACCAACGAGTTTCATCAAAATATTTTATTGATAATAAAAAATAAAAATACTCATAAAGTTAATTAACCATCAATCATAACAAAACAATTGACAGGAAGGATACGTACTTGACGTTGTTCAGATCTGCGATGAAACACGAACGTTGATCCACTCATGTCCACTATTTTATTAAGATCTTGGAATAATTTATGATGTGAAAGTACTGAGATGAATTGAGATGAATCTCTTAGGGCCGTGTTGATGGACAATCGATAGAGCAACAAGTATCGCTCAGGACGTCCTAAATGCGACTCCCGTTTACACTCAGGTAATCTAGGACATGCGCTCTAGATGCAACGGTTATTGATTTTACAGCATACATTTTGATATATAGGTACTTTGATAGGGATGGTAGCCAGTCACCCATCCCATCGCTCCCAGTCCCAACAAAGACTTTTGATTCGCTGCGTTTCAATCTAGCTGCTATTTTAATCAAGTACAATACGAGTAGTAATTTATGTTTTTGTTTTTATCTGGACAATGTAAGGGCACATCTCTTCTTGAACTAATCTCAAGTAGACTTTCGAGGGGGAAATTTACATAATTGCTAAGACAAATCGGTCTGCCACAAGGTTGCATTTTGGGTCCTTACACGTGTAAGCACTCCAACTATACTTAGAAAGCCTCGTTACAAATTACTAGAAACGTTACTTAAATCAATATGATCAATTTTTACTTAAAGAAATGAATGTTCTTGAAACTAGAGGATTTCAAAACCTTTTCACCTTTGTGAAGTTGCACATGCACACATTTTATTTAAAAATTAAATCCGAGCTAGCCTCCGCGTTACGAAATTATCATCATCATCAACAATGATAACTGCCTGTCTCAGGATCATAATAAATATCTTGGATCCCACAACTAAACAAATCATAAGATATAACTTGAGAATAAATACTAAATGGTTTTCACTTCCCTCAACGAATGAAGGGCAGGGGACAGAATAACTTAAACCTAAAAGGTGCAAAGGACATTGCACTACTGGGAGAGGCCCATTCGCCGAAAATCGATTGTAAAATTAATTGGTCCTATGTGTTGCACTAGTTTACACAAAAGCCTAGGACGGAAATAACTTATTAAGACCTTACAAGACGCCCATCCACTTCGGCATTTAATTAAAACTTTATCCCAGACGACAGCTAATGGCTTAAACAATCTAGCAATTTTGTTTCAATCAAGCTGTGCTTCAAAGCTTGCGGAAAATTAGGTATTGCTTTGTACTACATAGCAGCTCGCCACTACACCTCATAATCGAAGAGAAGTTTATCTCGCAAGCATAAGTAGTGCCATAACTAAATATTTTATAAGCCTTACTCAGAAAATAACTAAGCCAAAAGAAGTTTCCGCCATACCAAGCCTATTGTCAACCTATGAGCCCAGACAGGTGTGTTCAATTTAAAGATGATCCACTGATTTAAGGTCCCTAGTAGATAACTCAGTAGATAACACTAGAAGACCGCAGACAACTTTCGAGATTCACGAGAACGCATAAAAGTATAAAATTATTCGATGGGATCACAATTGCACTTCTTGATTTATCTGCTAGCTAGACAATCTAGAAATTATATAGGTACCTAATACCGGACGAAGGATATTAACCCCCTTTCAACGTCCACCCCTCACCGCTTCCTCAATAAGCCACCCGGCACAACCCACCCCATACAAACGGGGGTTGCAGAATATATCGGAAATGTTATAGACATCCCTAAACACTAAAGATGACATGGCATAGAAAGCCTACAGATATTAAAAGTTAGGCCAAAATAATTTCGCATAACCATGCTGAGCATTGTTGACATGTTTATGACCAATTAGATCGCTATCACAGATCAGTTGATCTACTGCTATTAATCAGTTTGATTAAATTCAAAAAGTTCGATAGCGGTTGAAAAATTACAGTTTTATAATTTTTTTTTTGACTATATTGCTGAAAAGCTTCAGCTATATCTTCTGAAGCAGGATCCGTAAACGAGGGTCTGCGGACAGAGCAGTAGAAGAAACGGGAAGTTTTTAGTCAGTAAGAGTCACTCCCTCTCGCCTGACCCAGGACAAGCTAAGCCATTTGATGATTCTCCTTATCTAGTCACCATTTTCATCAAACCTTGTGGAAGCCATATCCATCTAAAGGTTCACCTCTTACCCCCGCATATAGGAGGGGGGTGTATCCCCTTAAACACCTATCTCCCTCAGGTGGTAGATCATGCGCTGTGATTGCAAGATTATTGATTGTATAGGTAAAAACGTGCAACCATTTGATTGGCTTGGAGTTTACCAATATTGCCAATTTAACTACCTACGTTTCCGTTTGATTGGAATATTGCACTTGTTGTCTGTGGACGGTAGGAGAAAGTTTTTTAATGGTACGGATTAGATGATGATAAGCAATCGGCTCTGTCTATACTACCTACCTACCTACCCGCGATACTAGAGGAGTTGCAAGGAGGTACATTGCGGGTCTTTTGGGGAGAAGGGGTTTTAGGCATTTAGGGATTGGGGAGGGTATGGAAGGATTGGACCATGTTTGTGTGTAAAAGGGCTGTCTTATGGCCTATTTACAAAAATAAATTAATTTTTATAACATCCTTTGCATGTACTCATGAATATATTTGAAGTTTGAAATTTAGCATAAGCGTATGCAAGAATCAAATCGACTGTACAAAACAAAAATAAGTATACACTATTTTTTGTGACGCCCTGGGTAAGGCGAGAAAGTTTGTATTTTCGAAAGTACATTGCAAACGAACGGTTAATTATCTCATGACTCAAATCCACTTATTAATGCAATAAAATTATAATAAAATCCTATCGTAATTTGTATTTTGGTTTTCGAAAAAAGCACATTGTATTTCTTTTTTATTTTATGCCAGGTATATCAATAAATGCTGCGCCACGATATCCGCTTCATAATTGAGTCGCAAGATTTGACTTCACGAACATAGGTACTCATACTTATACCTACATTACAAGTTAAACACAAGCTTGTAATAAAAAATATCCCATTTTCATTAAGCTTAAATAACTGCTAATACTAAGTATAATATGACATCCAAAAATCAATAGACAAGACTTCTCAACATGCCGTAATCCTATAATCCCATAAACAAAATATAACACTTATTCGAAAAATTTGAATTTTACTATTTGACAAATAAACATTTCGAAACATTCGCGATTTAAAAATGGAACGGCTTAAAAACGACAGTCACTTGTCTAGACTTTGCATTCATTTAAGTAGAAAACGCTCCCCTAGCCTGACCCAGACGTAAACTTGGCTTAGATGGCAACGTGCCAACGCTTCCCTTGTTGTGTACAAAAGGCTGTCCGGTAGGGTGAAAGCAAAGGGGAGAAAGCTCTTTCATATAGATATAAATACTACTGTACTACCTATATCGTTAATAGGGACATGTTATGATTATGACGCATTAGTTATAGTAAGTTCTAGCGACCCGCCCCAACATCACACGGGTGCAATTCAGATATTAAATTTCATACATAAATATTCCTTTCCGATTACTCTATTTATTAAACCGTATCAAAATCCGTTGCGTACATATTTTTAAAGATTTAAACCTACATAGGGATATAGAATACATAGGTAAGTAGGTACCATTTTATTTTCAGAGGTTTTGAGAGGTTGTAACTATCTGTTCTCAGATATATCTACACTAATACTATAAATAGGAAAATGTGGTTTGTAACTTTGTTTGAAGTTACTACTATACTGAAGTATACTGATTTAAACAATTACTTTATACTTTATTTTCAAGGAATACACGAAGACGACAACCTTTAATGATTAATGTCAATTTTACACCGATGCGAAAGCTAGCGTTATAAATATAATACCAAGGCAATATAATGTACTGCAGATTTTTATTATTAAAAATGAAAATACCAGAATATGATAGCAATTATAACTTAAACTCTCTAGTGTAACACGTAAATTGAAATGGTATCTCCTAAATCTATGTATATCTTTGTCTGTACATCTATGTGTCTCTTGACAGCCGATAAAAAAAAAGCAATTTTGTCAACTTTTTATACCAAAGAGTTTTCGCGACCCAGGAACTAACACACACACAAACAAACATTAAAATAATACTTAAGACCGTTTTAAAGTAAGATCAAATTGTAATGTTTAAAATCTTTTACAATCCTATCAGATATATCACTCCTATCAGACATCTTCTGGACATATTCTTCAAATCATCGTTCATTCAATCCCTGTCTAGTTGATAGTTTATCTCTGCTATCGAACTTTAAAATTACCGAAACAAAAAAAAACGAATATCTTTTAAGTGTGGGAGAGCCATGCTTCCGCACGAATGGGTCGGCTCGACCGGAGCGATACCACGGCCTCACAGACAATCAGCGTGAAACAACCAAATTGTTTTGCCGCGTGAGTGAGGTTACCGGAGGCCCAAACCTTCCCCCACTATCCTTCCCCAATCCCTAAATCCCCAAAACCCTTATCTCAAAAAGGTCGGCAACGCACTCGTAATTCCTCCGTTGTTACTGGCGTCCATGGGCGGCGCTGATTGCTTACCATCAGGTAATATGTCTGCTCGTCTGCCCTCCTCCTCTATCACATAAAAAACCTGATAGCACTTACCGGACACAGCAACACCGCCCCACAAACACATCACTTAAGAATTACATTTTGACTAACTGTACCTCGAAATTAAAAATAAATATTGACAATAATTTTTACTACGCAATCAAACAGTGTAACGTCAAGGCTGAGTAATGGAAGAATGATCGATTGAGCCCAGATTGCAGTGCCCAGGACGCACGACATGCGCGATGTTGCATCGGAAACAAGTTGGCCCAACATTACCGGAGAACATTCTCGAAACCCTTTTTAATACATCCTTAATTGAGCCAACATTGGACCCAATGTTGCTATACTACCAACACTAACAAAAAGTTGGCTATCCAATACCAAATATTGGCCTAACAGGAGAGGGGAATGTTCTAGACCGAAATGTTTGGGGTGCTACTCACTCACACTGACACAACACGTCAATCACACACAGTTAAAGTACTAAAACAACTGAATTTCGAATCTCGACCTTCTTGTCTAGAGTTAAGCTCCGTTTTCATTGGTTCAAGGATACGGTAAAAGTTGGTAATAATAAGAATAATATAGACAGGACTGACCCTTCTTTAAAAATGTACTTCGTAATAAAGCCCTTTTCTAGAATATTCGTCAAGCTAGTATTGATTAACAACATTACAAAATGCACTAATTTACAATTGAACGGACAAATTAATTTTTTCAATATTTATGAGTAATAAATGAGGAAGTCTATAAGTATGGAGGGATGGGCTTTCTTTTCACGTAAAGAGTACCGAATAATTGTTCCAAAGATTTATAGTCTACAATAAGGCACAGGCTTTTCATCCCAGTAAAAATAACTTAAACTATTATGGAATAGAACTATTTGTTGGATAGAATAAACACACATTGTTTACATTAAACACTTAGCTACGGAGCCTTCGTCAAAAGAAAATATCTGATGTTGATATAAGCGAAGTCAACTCTCAACTGGCGCCCAACGTGGGCCCACTTAGTCCAAGAGCCAAAGAACGGAACAAAGATTATATTTGGTTGCCGGGAAACCTTTTTGAGTGGATTTTTTTCCTCCAATTATGAAACTTTCCTGCCTCTGGAAAATTTGGCTACGTGTAAAAATAAATGACCTAAATATTGGGTCGTTTTGGAAGACGGTTATTATTAATCGGCTTATCATAATTAGCAGCTTCTCAATCTTCGGCGTTTTTCTCTCCATTATTTGGAGAATCAATAGGGAATGTCTATTAATATCTGCTCTTGATACTTAAGACGAAAATCCCCTGATTAATTGGTTCTAATAATCTAAGATATCAATATCATAAGATAGGAGAAAATAGAATACGTATTTTCTTATTATTTGAAGCTTATTTTACTTGATGGTCCAAACAATAGTTTACTCAAGTATATTTTACGTCACATAAAATAGAATAATTTTATATCATTTTTTTTTCGTGTTTAATGACTCGGACGAAAAGCCGTGTTAGGCTTTAGTTGCAGTTTTCTGAAGTAGTGCAAAAAGACTAGCCGGTTCACCTGTGATCGGATGGTAACAACACCGTGGTTGGGAAACCAGCTTTCGTGTTGTGAATTATTGTACCGGGTCTGGGTTTGATGTGTACATATATGCAAGCACGCATACGATACGATGGTTGTACGCATCCACGATACAGAAATAAATACTAGTGCCAAACAACGTTATTTATATTTAAAAAAAAAACACTAAAAATATGGTTTCAACATCCTTGGAACAAAGGTAAATAATGAAACAAACGTACAACACAGTGTCACAGTGTCAGTATGACAATAACCTTAAGTGTGGGAGAGCCAAGCTTCGGCACGACTGGGTCGGTTGGACCGAAGTGATACCACGGCCTCACAGAAAACCGACGTGAAATAACCACAGCGTTGTGTTTCACCGTGTTAGTGAGGTTACCGGAGGCCCAATCTTTCCCCTCCCCCGATCCCTCCCCAATCCCTTAATCTCCAAAACCCTAATCCCTAAAAGGCCAGCAACGCACTCCTAACTTTTCCGCTGCGGATATCCATGGGCGGCGCTGATTACTTACCATCTGATTCTGATAAATTACATAAAAAATACCTAGGCCCTCACACTAAGATTTTTCACAGGAACTAACTGTTACTTGCATTTTTACATCCGTGTGAACTACGTGATCTAAAGAGAAAGGTAACCTATTTAGCTGATCTTATAGCTTCATCTTCAATAAAAGAAAAATCACTGTTATAGCTGATAAGTAATTAAAGTGTCACCTGCGTTCATTTAAAAATGATACCAAAAGGTAATGTAACCTTCAAACCTTCAAAAAACGAGATTATTACTTCTTAAAAGGCCGGCAACGCGCCTGTGGCTCCTCTGGTGCTGCAGGGGTCTATTAGCGGCGCCGATCACTTACCATTAGGTGATCCCCCTGCTCGTTTACCTCCTAGTGCTACTTCCATAAATGAAAGTTATATTTTAAAAAAATACTCCACTGTGACGTCACACACGAACGTTTGCATCGGAATAGGGTTATCAGCAACATTTTACGGAGACCCATCTTTACCTACTGGTTTTCGCTGATTTAAATATCAAATTCTAGGTTCATACAATGTTATTCAAGAAGAGTATGATACAATGCTTTTGGCACGATCCCAAACTCTATAAAACCACTTAAAACACAGTAATATTTGGCTATTATCAGGAGCCAAGCCAAAACCAAATTATATGTATAAAATATCTCGCCTTTAATATCCCAAAAGATATCGACGATAGATATAGTATATCGACGTAGAAGAAAGACAAACATACGAACTTTTGCATTGGAATCGGGTCAGAAACGTTTTACGGAGATCCTTTTCCTAATTGATCTTTACCTAATCGTTTTTGCAGATTTTAACATCAGAATCTATATTATGTAGCAGTTGATACAATGTTATTCAAGTATGTAGTTTATGATACAATGTTCTTGGCACGATTCCATACTCTGTAAAACCACTTAAAAACAATAATCTTTGGTAATATCGGTAAACAAGCCAAGTCCCTGAACACCAAAAATTATCTATACTAATATTATAAAGAGGTAAAATTTCGAAGTTTGTAACTTTGTGTGTAGAGAGTAATCTTTGGAGCCGCTGGTCGGATTTCCAAAATTCTTTCACTGATAGATAGCTACAATGTTCCTGAGTGCTAAAGGCTATAAAACATCACGCTACGATTAAATGGAGCCGAGCAGCGGGTGAAACCGCGCGAGAGTAGCTAGTATAAAATATTTCCTAGAAGGTATCGACGAATTTTGTAATGGTCTGTTCAGATAACCTCGTGTCGTGTCAGATTTGATCCTTCAAAAAGATTTCAAACGTAGCTGTGGGTATGATAAACATGACTATGGCTCATTCGTGAGCGATTCAATGTTATGGCAGTTGCAGTATTCACTGGTTAAAAACATTTTACCTTTCTGCACATCTTTATTTAGGTATTTTCGAGTATAACACATGATTAGCATTGTCCTCTTACCTTGATAGGTCCAGTTGAACAGGTTAGGGCTGATAGGTATGGCAAACATCTCAGTTTCTACAGCATGGTGAAGGTGTGCTAACAACCCTGGCGTCCCCACCACCACTAACAGCAACGTACTTATGAAATACATCGTGTCTTCTGGAAAAAAAGTTTAAGGTTTTGGGTACTTGGATAACAAAATTCTTATCAAATTCTATGCCATCATGAGCAAGCGATGTGCATCCATGATGCGGCGATTGCGATTAAAGGAAAGTTTTAACAGTATACTAACTGTACTAGCAGGCAAAATTGATGAAGTCCATGCCAATAACTAATAAATATTTCCTAATGTTTTCTACCTAACATTAGGATAAGAAATTAAAAACAATTACGTATAGGTGTCTGGTCTGAAATACGGAATTTAATTTAAAATCAATCACAAGCGGTGATCATAGTATACATAAATCTGCAGTAAAAACTTTCAAATTTCTTTTGTGTATGGCTCTATAAATCTACAAAAGAGTTAAACTTAAACGATAGGTAGGATAGATTAACCCTTTTGAAAATAAGTAATAAAAATAATAGACTTGAGATTACACTAATAGTGTTTTAGTACAATAGTCATGTAGAAACCAGAAAAGGTCAATTGGTGGTTTTTTAAGGTTTTCAAATACTTTCCCCAAGTGTAAAGTAGATAAATAAAAACACAATGGACAATCCGACCCTCCAACCCTCGCCCGTGCCAGCGTGACCTTGTAATTCAAATGGTGCTTAAATAATTTAACATTTAACTGTGCCTTGTTGGCGAGTTTTGTAGACCTTTTTATAAGTATGAAAAGCGTTTGTGCGAGAAAGTTTCCCATACAAACTTTCAAATAAAAAATCATGGAATTTACGGTGTATGTATGTAATAAGGTCTAAAAACACAGTAAAGTAATAGTTGTAGGAGCTGTTTGCCCGAGTACTGCGATGTGTTTGTTATTAACGAAGACGGGATCTTAACAGAAATAAGATTAATGTAGATTCAGTAGTAGTGATGTAGATAATTATTTTCAAAGACTTGTCATCTCTGAAACGTGCATTTAAAAAAGCTAAATATTTTGTTTGAAATTAGACTAAAAACACGAGATATAACCTGTCGGTTATTTAATTCAAAATACACCTCCAATAAAAGGAGCAACGGGGCTCTCTGAGAAATAGAAACCCAAAGAGCTTACCAGAATTCATACCTATCAATACCGGTATCTATAAATACCGACCGGAATCTCCAGCTCTGACGAAGCGAGGAGCATCGATATCTTAAGACTTCTGAGTGACGTGGAAAAGAAGAGCCATGCTTTGCGCGCGAATGGCCATCTGGACCTCACATAAGACCAACGTGAAACAATCCTTACTCCACCCCCATGCTCAATCCCCAAATCGTCAAACCAAAACCATAATTCTCTAATAAACTAGAGAAGGTAGGCAACATACTCGCAGTAACTACATATATACTTTGGGATTGCAAGTGTCCATGGACGGTCTGAAGGTTTACCATCAGGTAATCCATCGGCTCGTTTGCCAACATAACATTAAAAAGTCACTGGCTGTTAAAGACATGCATGACTCGGTCTCCTTGACTATATCTAACCATGTGATTATCATTAACCATCATAAAAAGGGTTCCGTCAATCTTATAAACGGGAAACTGTCTCCGCGACCTATTTCCCTAATTTCAAACTATTTGATCTCAGATTTATGATTAAAATTAATGACGGAAACGTCCTTGCCAGTTTAAAAATAAAATAAAATATGTTTCTATGCAAATTCATAGCCTGTTAGGTACTTACATGTGAGGTTGGGAGGACACTGAATTTCATTTATTTAGTTATATTTGTACAAACGTATTATCATTATTGTTTTATAGACAATGCCATAAGAATTTAAATAATTGTTTGTGCGTCATTGCCTTAGGAAGACCAACTTACGTAGGTAAGGTATGTAGGTACCTACTTTACTACTACAAGTAACAAATTAAAGAAAGAACTCTTCTAAAAAAATTAAGTGTTAACAGCTGATTTGAAATCATGCAAAAGAAAACAAATGAAGATATGATTGCGTTCTACGTTCAAAATTTATTTGAAGGGAACCACCAGGGACAGATTTAGGTAAAAAATTTCTACATACCAATACCTATATTGTTTACCAACACAACTAGTTTTAATTAACATTTTAACAACCTCTATGCCGCAACGGCATGGAATTCTTTCCATTCAAACCACGACATGGGAAAATATCCAAGATCCGAAACACGATTATACAATAATGACCAAATATATAATAAATTCCACTTACCTATTTATTTACCGGATCGCCATAGCACTGATATTTCGAATAAACCCGACCTAAATCCACAGGAATAGAAACAACAATCGATTTCTATTTTAACCGTTTACATTGAGCGCCGGCGGAACACAGATCGCATGTGCGGCTTGAAGGAACGCCCCGAAAACAGACAGAGATGAATTCCAGAATCGAAACCGATTTTTTGGGCGGGAAGATGGTTTTTGAAATGAGAACGAAAATGATAGGTAAACCATTTTCTTTGTTGTTATTATAGCTCCTAAGAACTTGTACTGAGCAAATTGTACTTGTACGTCGTCACAAATACGTTACCTTACTAATATTATCAAATACAATGGCTTACAAAATATATTGAGTTAATAATGTAGACACGACAGTCTGTTAAAATGTTACGTGAACCGATAAATTAGATACAACAGAAATATTTTACCGACTAAACGTGGGAATAAGTATTTATAATTCACCTCGAGCTTCGAGTAGGTAAATAAAAATAAATTTTCTTAATTTTCGCTGTCATCGTCACTATTTACGTATTTCTTGACCTCTCGAGTCTAAATACCCTCTTCCCATATTTATTTACACAAATACGGCCCTGAAAGTAGGCGTGACGTAAAACTAGCATCGACGTCATTGGTCCAGCAACCGACCAAATTGAGAAGGCTGCTCAGTCTGAAGTATACGTTCCGTTTTACGCGTATTGAAGAAGAGTTTTTCTGTAAATTTAAAATTTAAGCCTTCTCAATACAATTTTTAGCTAAATATTTAAATGGAATAATAAATTAATTACTTATTACTTTATTTCTTGTATTTAAATCAATCATAGAAATTATTACAGACAAACTTTTATGGAGATTGATAAACATCGTAAATTATTCAGGTTATATGCTGTTTATACGTGCAAATGTGAGCGTAGAAATGTCATTCATTCATACAAATGTCAGAAAGGGCTGGGGCGACTCGGTTGAATTTACTACACTGAATAAAATCTTCCGTTTTTGACGGAAAAGTGTTATAATTAAACTTAATAATGTAATAAACAGTATTAATAGTGAAGGCGTGTTCGCGCCAAATTACGATAAGGGCGTTAAATCTTACGTAGTGTTGATAGTAACCTCGTTTGTGTTAGAGGATTTGTTTTCACATAAAAACTCTTCAGGAACATGTTGAAGTTCAAAAAAATGGGTTCGGATAAAGTGCCATTGCTGCTTGTGACTGCTAACGTCGGATCTATATTCGAGGATGTAAGTATTGTCCATAAAATTATTTAATTCTGCCAAACCATTTTGTCTAGTGAAGTGTGAAAAAAATTAATTAAGTGGTTTATTCAATTAAAATCTTCTGCGCGGGGCGTTAATGAGAGGAGTGTTCTATTTTTAAAATCATTGACATCATCAATTTGCTTCTGGCTGATAATTATAAGAATCCAAAAAGGTTTCACCTGAAAACCTTTTTTGAACTCTCATATTTGTTTTTGGTTTACCTAGGTACTTGAAAGTTTGACTAAAGAGGTTTTAACATTAAACAACAATCAGTTATAATTCCTTTAATTATTTAAAGTCAGAATAAATTCAAAATTATATTTACCACTTTATTATTTTTCTTTGTAATGTACCTAACACTTAAATATTTAATAACCAAACTCATAAAACTGTTTACTTAGATACCATACAACGACACAGTTTAAATTGATGTGAGTCATTGTATACCTATCAATCTATAAACATATGTTTAATGTTGTAATATCTGTGATTACAATTTATAACTATTAAATAAAAATACAGCATAACCATTATTTTGTTATATGATATATGTCAACCATATTTATTTTGATTTGTAATTAATTCTTGAATTCAGACCAATTTACAGCTGTGATGAGCTACACTTTTAAACATAAATCAACATTTTGACTACTTTACACCTAACATTTTACCTATACAACATTTTATTTATATTTAATTATTCTGACTTGTCTATACAAATCAACATTTCGGTAACAATCTTAATAGATGAATTAAGTCGGTTCAAAAGTGCATTTATATAAACAACAAACCCCATTAAAATCCTATCAATGTAGAAAGTTTATTAGTATTACTTTTTTACATAAAAACTATTGAATGGATCTGAATAAAATTTGACACAGATAATAGCCTGTAATATCATACCGGCTACCTTTTACGCTGGCACTAAAAACAAAGTGGCTGACAGAAGCTAGTATTTAAACAACATAAAAAGTTGCTTTCTTATAGATAATTACCTAGTTACCTTTAATGATAAAAGAATATTCTAATCAAATGAAAAGGATAGAAAAATACACATTCACCTCTATTCCATTTAATTCATTTTAACATGTTGTGAACTGAAATAGCTTATGACTCAGTAGATATATTACCCATTTTTGTTAGTGGGTGTTCAGCCCACTGTCCAATATTTAAGTGTTGTCTCCGGAGGCCATTTTCATAAACAACTTGATAAATCACTATTTTGTATACCTGTGTTGCTGCCCAGTAGTATATGGCTGAAATATTTATAATATACTTTATTTTTACTTGAGTCAATTATAGTCTATGGATAATTCCAGACTATAATCTAGTCTATATGCAACTAGCTTCTCTCGCGCGATTTCACCCGCTACTCGGCTCCATTTGTTCGTAGCGTGATGTTTTATAGCCTATAGCACTCAGGAACATTGTTGCTATCTGTCAGTGAAAGAATTTTGGCAATCTGACCAGCGGTTCCAAAGATTACCCCCTACATACAATCTTCAGATTTCACCTCTTTATAATATTAGTATAGATATTGCATTCAAATCCTTGTAGCTGTTTTTTATAGAAAGACAAAAATATCTATCCGTGTTTACAAACTTGCATTTATAACATTTATAATAAGTATAAGAATGTGATATGCTTAAAACATAATACTAGAATATTTTCACTAAATTTAAATATCACTGTTTTAATTTAAAAGCAAATTAAACTGGCCAGTATGGTACAGTCAGCTGACAAAAATCCTATTACACTCTACCAATTTTAAAATGACTAAAATTTCTTTGTAGTAAAAGTTCAATGGTTCACAGCCAGTTTATTCAATAATTTAGATTCTATGCTATAAATTAAAGCAGTCCTCAACTATTGACTATTATACAAAGATATTTTGGTCATTTTAAAATTGTTGGAGTCCAATTGCATTTTTGACCCCTGACTGTACATGAATAATGTATATTGTTTTTATTTTATAAAAGAAATTATTACAGTAACACCAAAATATTATGATAGACATCAGTTAATTTAATAAAAAACCTACACAACTAAGTATTCTTAAATAACTTATTGTACTTAATAAACAAAAAAGTTTATCAATAGTCAATAGTAACCCATATTCTAATCAATATCTCAATATTTGATCCAACAAACCAAAGTGCATTAAAATAAGTCCAGCCGTTCTTGAGTTACACAGTGATACAAACATAACTTTGTGGAACACAAACAAATTAAGGTAGATTGTTTGTCTAACAAAACTAAACAATGGAGGAAAAATAATAATGTTTATTATTATATAATATTATTTTCCTCATTTGTTATCTCCCTGTAGTTCATTATTAACCTCACCTGCATAGTGCATAGACAATAAAAAATATTCATTGTTTTTTTGTATTCCTACCTTACTTGATCATGTTCCAACTTGTCTAGTAAGTTTAGGTAAAATTCGGCATTAACAATAACAAGCTCTATTTAGTAGTGTTCAAGGTTTTTTTTGAAATAAATAGTTAGTGATGCTTAATATATCGATAGACTGGTTGGTTGTTCTATTAGTGATTTGTAAAAGGTGTGTCCGTCGACCTCTTTTGATTCTTGAGGAGGTGGGTCCGAAACCTAACAAGTACCTTGTAATGTGTTTAGTCATATAGTATATATTATGCACTTTCTAAGTTCAATTAGACGCCATAGACCTACGGTAAGGGAAAACCTTGTCAAGAAACCTTAATTTTAAGCCTTGAGAAAGCGTGCTGAAAGCACGTTGTGGCTTGCGTATATCTGCGCTATTACAGGTTAATGTTCAAAACCTCCGTAAGAGAAAAGGCCTTCCCTCATTCTGGTCGAAGGCGAGCTACCCTTGCCATGCATGCGCTCTCAAGCCCTAACTGCTTCCAGTGGCGGATGTGACACGTGAGGAGATAACAGTACCTAGACCTTGGATTCGGCAAAAGAAAGAAAATTTGGCAAAGGCAAAAAATGAAAACAAATGCCTTAAATATTAAATCGCACCCATCAGCGATGTCCTACACCCTCTCCAGTTTAAGAAAATGCATAGGTTTGTGCCCATTTAAAAATGAACTTCAGTCTTATTTCAAACTAGCCTAAAGCAGAAGAAGGAATGCAGATTTTTTGTCAGTAAGACTCTGACACTCCCTCTAGCGTAATCCTGGACGAGAGAAGCCACTGGATGATTTTTCTCTTACAAAAATAAAATGTTATTTCAAACTCATTGTCTATAGGCAAAAAGCATTATTATCTACTCAAGTGTTTTTGTTGTGTGAAAATCGTCAAATGGCTTCTTCCACCCTTTGTGGGACGAGAGAAAGTGTCAGATTCTTACTGACTCAAAACCATCCCGTTCCTTCTCCTGCAGTGTGATTCTGTAAGACTTAATTCTAAACTTCCAATCTGAATCCGCTGTGAATAGTAGTACACTAGCGCTACACTTACGAGTCGAACTAAGTTCACCGCAACATTTTGATAGATAAAGTATGAAATGACGTTAAATGGCATTCTAAAATTTAATTTCCCCGTCAATGACGCTCACTTCGCACTCGAACAAGATTCAAAATTCAAATAAATTTTATAGAATCGACTGCTTCGGGCTGAGGCCGCGGTATATTTTGATTTTAAGTGTGGGAGAGCCATTCTTCGGCACGAATGGGTCGGTTCGACCGGAGTGATACCACGGCCTCACAGAAAACCGGCGTGAAAGAACCATAGCGTTGTGTTTCGCCGTGTGAGTGAGGTTATCGTAAGCCCAATCCTTCCCATCCCTCCAAAATACCTAAATCTCCAAATCCCTAATCCCTAAAAGGTCGGCAACGCACTCGTAACTCCTCCGTTGCGGGTGTCCATGGGCGGCGCTGATTGCTTACCATCAAGT